GATAAATTCAGTAACACAAAATTCAACACGCTGTCTCCAAATACATAAAGTAGTCTTTCTCAAAGATGCAGTCAACCCTGACGCAAACTATACCTCATTTTTCCTTTCATTGTTGTCTGGAAGCAATCATCTTAAAGAGAAAAGGCCATTCTATTTGTCAACCGCCCCCCCAACAAACATTACATTACTGAGACGGCCCTGACAGACGTCAGTGCGATATCGATCACAGTGCGTGTTCATTCCCATGCTCTTTGCTGTCCAACCCCAAGCGTGCGTGCATATGGCCCGCAATGTGGTGAATTTTTAACCGAGGAAGCTTGGGATATAACTCCAGAGATAAAGCGAAATGAATGGGAACAAACTGTGTCCGCTTCAGTTGAAATGGTTGTGCTAGCTCCTCTGTGATAAAGTATATAGTCTCCTGCTCGGTGTACATGTACCACTTGGGCCTTTATATAGGCATTAATGCAGTCAAGACCTTTAAAAAGGTGACTTTGAAAAAACAAAGTTGGAAACGCTAATGACGTAGTCTCTGATGAACCCACAACGAAGGCTTCGGTGCAGTTAATGAAATAATAATTTCCCCGATGAAAATCCTAATACGGAAACATTTTAATTAAGAACCAAAAAGGAAAACCCATTGCGCGTATTGGCTTCATTGGAGTTAACGCGTATTTTTCCATATGGATGCCTGACGCAGGCTGATTTGTAAAGTTCACTCAATTCAGGCTTAGTTCCCCAAATGGATTTGTCCACGGCAAGGGAAATTATATTGACATAAAGGGTTTTATCCTAGTGAAGAAAAGGCCCGTATGCAACCAACGGCGTAAGACCATAATGTGAAGGTAATACATGCATTTGCAGTCGGGAACTGGAGGCGCTGCGCCTCATTTATCCTGCTGATCTAATTTGATGCTGCGTGCGCACATTACGGTCCATCTGCCCGTCGCAACCGCAAATTCGTGCTCGACAAAATGGAGAACAAAAAAGAAAAAAAATGAATTGTTATATTTCAAACTCATCAGTATAGTTTACTATTTTATCATCATGAATGGCCAATCCATGCTTAAGTCCCTGTACATAAAGGGGAAGTAATAGACCCTGTAATGCCATCGCAGGTACTTGTGGTTAGCGAATGGCGCAACATTAAAATTAAGTTTAACCACGGGTGGGGGGAGGCTAAAGTAGGGAAAGAGGTTAGAGGCGCAGTCATTGACGACATCATAGGTAGAGTTTAATTGCATTTTTCGTCCTGTGGGACGCCGTCTTAGATGAAATTCGATTTTCTGGCATTTAACTCCTGGGGTCTGTGAGGAGAGCTCTATTAAGCCGCAAGCCGAAATTTGGCGATTGAAGGGGGTCATCATGGACGATTCTTTGAGCCACATGCCGCAACTGAACGATGCTCTGGGGAGTTTTACTGACGCACAAACCTAAGCAATGTGACTGTGGTGCTTGTGTGTGTGTGGGGGGAATTAAATAAACTGTTTTGATTCTGTACACAGTGTAGCTATTAAAGTTCTTTGGCACTTCTAATGATTTAAGTTGGTGCCGTTGCAATCGATAATTTTCTGCGTCAACAAATTAGACGTTTTCTCCAAGGTTTGGCAGTGATTTAGCGGTTTTTCTGACAGCGATTTAGGATAAAGCTTCAAACATAGAGGTAAAATGACGAATCATTTTATTTGGCACAATAAATTAACTGCAGAGTACTAAGTAAAGCAAAACTAACCAAAACATAACGGCAAACCCGTTTGCAAATCTTCATAAGACATGCTGCCATTTTTTCCTCAACTTTATCGGAAAAAACAAAGCTGCTTCCAGTTGACGATAAATGAATCGCAGAAACTCTTATTATTTTGCTGCTTTACGCTATAAGAAAAGTTTTCGAAAATTGCTGAAAGCAATTTATTATATGATGCAGTCGACGACCGATCTTTCTGTTTCTCCGCCTGAAAGGAAGCGCAACATAACCCGATTTCACACATGATTGGCGAAGTTAGGGAAAAAAGACCACATTGTCCGAGGCATTCCAGCAAGCTGTCTGCTACAGCAACACATTCCAGATGCGTTAAGGTATGATGCGCCATTGGCGCATAACCCGCTATACAAATTAATGAAAACCGCAAGGAATACTGGTTGCCATGGGAACATGTGCCATCCTATGTGACGTCAGTAACAGCTAGGGCAAATCTGCCACCAAAGATATCGAAATCTTGCGAGAGATCAATAGTAAAGACAAGGGGGTATAGTACCTTTGACAAAAACACCTGTTTTTGATCAATATCGCTTAGAGGTTCAAATGATTTCACGCACGTGAAAATTAAAAGACAAGAAAAAAAAAAGAAGTTGAGGTCTTTGCTAGACACCAATGCCTGGCGTGGCTTAAGGCGATAGAATCCCCCAAGACATGCATCAAGGAATATCTTGCCAAGATCGTAGGCGTATTTTTGCGTCTCCTACTTTGCATTTCAGTCCTTACAGTTCTAAGGTGATGAACTCCCGCACTTCAGCCAGAAGGCCTGGGATGATTTAATGAAGTTGCTCGGGCCAGATCCACGCCAGGAAAAAGCTAATTACTAACCCTTTTCCAATTGAACATCAATACCCAAAACACGGGATGTAAATGAAAACGCAGAGATGATTTTGTTTGTGTATAATACATGCTGTTTTCTCCGGGAACAATCCGGAGCTCTACGCCCACGCTGACTATTTTGTAACGCGATCAAAGCATGGGGGCGGGAAAGGGTCGCATGATGGTTCCGATACAATGATGGACTCTTCAAGGTACCACCGCATAGAAAATGCGACGGTGCCTGAAAGCAAGTTGGTGTATATTTTGATCCCAGTTTCTGCATTTATTGTACTCATTTCAAGGTTACCAGTGTTGCAAATTTGTCACCCTAAGTGCCCAAAGAGCCCAAAGTGAACGCAAAGCGAAAGCGGGTGATGGTTGTCACTCCCTTAAAAAAGCAAACCGTGTAGACAGAGGGAATTAAATCTATCAATATGCCTCTGTGCTGTCCAAAAATTAATGGGGGAGCTTTTTACGAGTCACACTCGAGAGAGAACAGCATGTGACAGACGTACACACTCATTTTTCCTTCTTTAAATAATAAAGTATGACGTCCATTAGCTCGCTTGCTTGAATGCACTCAATCGTGAAGTTGGCCTGTTCATGAAATTTGAAGGACCCAAGACATTATATTTGCTTTGGAACATACTCTGAGCAACTTTACTTTCCTCTTAAGAGTATGAATGCTGTTTGACATCCATTTAAGGTTAGTGCACACCTATACTGGAAGTGAATTGCTTGTCAATCTTGCCACTGAAATAGTTGTAACATTGAAGTTTCTTCCTGGAATAACATTATAGTTTTGGGATTTCAAGCTATTCATGGTGACAGACGACTAAGATGGAAAGCTTGCGGTAAGCACCATGCAATATCTCTTTTTGAGTCTGCCTGTCCGGTTCTTATCAGAACCATACAGACTCAAAAAGAGATATTGCATGGTGCTTACCGCAAGCTTTCCATCTTATTATAGTTTTGCTCATGGAGCTGGAAATCTGCATCAGCATAAAACCACACTGGCACCAAGATGGCCTTAGAAATGCAAAATGAAAACTCAACATTAGGATAAATGGGACTCAGAGATGCATTTACAAGAGCTGTATTTGAAAAGAACTCCACACAATGTCCAAGTCTTAAAGGTTTTACTCCTTGGACAAAACTACACCTTAGCAAGATGTATATTAATGAACCAGTTCGAGACTCCAGTAGCGATTGCTGAATATGAAGAGCGTCAGGGGTCATTCGGGAATAGCAATGCGCGCGCCTAATTGGTCTGCCTTAGGGCCATATGCCAGCTCGCAAGCGTGGTTTGGTCCCAAATGACCTTGTCTCTTAAAATATTATTATGATAAATCCCAGACGTGTGGGCAGCCACAATGCGGTTGAAGGATAAATCAAATGAAAACTTGATCATAAATCCAGAGACGAAAAATTGTTTAAATGCTGGGACTACTGACAGTTACTTCAATGCATCATGTTACTTTGGTTATGGCTTGCTTTGTTTTGCTTAAAACTCATACAAGTAGTAAACCAAAAATACTCAAATCCGGAACTCAATCTGTGGAATCATGGATCTCTATGTGCACAGTCAATTGAGGGTGTTAAAAGGGCATAGCGGTGTGCTGCATGCAATGAAAGTTATTGTCTCGCAAAAGGGTCGAGGAGAGCCACAGTGTTAGATTGTTTGCACTTTCACTACATGCGTTTGTTTCGAATCGAGGATTCGTTGTAAATAGTTTTATTCAATTAAAAAGGCGAAATCAACATTTCAGCAGCGTTTCCGAACGGTAAGGTTGGAGTTTTAGAGGTTTGATTTAAGTTTTAGATTGGGATTTTTGGAGTTAGGAAAAGTAAACAAGGGTTTTGTAAAGGGTAAAAAGTTTAACGTATCCGAAACATCATAATGAAAATCCTCATTTGCCTACATGTGCATGCCAAGACCAGGGTGACCCTCACGACATGTCCAAAAGATACGGCAGAAATTATTGTGTTTAGTTTAGTTTAGTTTAGGTTAGTGTTATCTTTTCAAAACTGAAGATTTCATTTAAATTTGATGATGCGTGACGGAGTTAATTCTTTCTTGTTCTGTCCAACTTCTGTGGATTTACCACATCAATGAAAATGCTATGTTCAATACACTTTAATACTGAAAAAGGCTTGCAAAATGAGGAATCTGGACAACATGCTGCCCAACTTAACAGGATGCCGGACTAGTCAAAAATGGCTGCGCTACTAAACAAAGTTAACTCAAAACTCAACACCTTGTTACAAATCGACTGACATGGATCAGTTCAAGGGAAGTTCCTTTCTTCTAAAACAAAGTGAAACAAAGGCATTTAACTCTTACACTGCAACATTAATTTAAAAAAAACCACTGTCAACTCAAATAAGCAAGTAACATCTTTTGCATGAAATGAACATGACTCACCTTCGTAGGGGCTGAAACCTCCGGCGTTTCTTTGTTTGAATCTGAAAAAAAAATACAATTAAAAGAAGGGCTCAGTGGGAGCATCTAAATATCATACTAGCAACTTATTGCAAAGGTCGTTTTAAACGCTGTCAGTGGATTTGGATTCATTGGATTTATTTTGCAAGTGGAATCTCATGTTTGCAAACAATGGCACTCGTTATCAGTGCTTTCACAGACAGACAATACTTCCATCACGGTGCTTTGTGACCTGAAAAAATATGTTCTACTTTGATGGCTTACATGTCAAACGAAAGTTTTAAATTTACAAAGTATTTCCAGTGTTTACAATGTAACTGAAGAATATTTTCCATCTTCTGCGATCTTCGTTTCCATTTATTTTTGGAAACAAGGTCATTTCATTCGATGCGATTCGAGCCATTTTCTCGCACCCTCAACATGAACACACTGACTTGTTTTCAACATCTGCCTAAATTTCGAATCTCGATCCAAATCCAATCCTATATGCAGCTATACCACAGCTCAAGCCCTACAAACATGTTTACACGGCTAGCCCGTGGAGTGACAATCATTGAACGCATTCATGATTGAAGAGGCATTTACCATTTCTGTTTATGAGATTTTCACGAGCTAAAACACTGCCGTTATTCAAACAGCTCTCCGGTTGCTGATCTTTATGGCTGTTACGGTCACGCGCGCACCAACCACATATTGATTGCGAATGTGCCCCGTATGATATCGATCGAGTTGAAGTTTCTGTGCAATTTCATCTGACATTGCCGGTTTTGAAAGCCCCATAAATTAACGGCGTCTCGTTGTAAAGAAGGGCCACAGTCGAGTCAGTCAAATGTGGAATGAAAATTGTTGTAACTGGCTGAAATAAAATACATGCATCATCGTACCTCACGAAAGCCATCTCCGAACGTGCGCATAGATCCGACATGCATTCCTGTACCCGTCGACGGCTTAATAGCTTTTCTTTCCCATATATATGTATAAGGAAGGGAGAGTCTGATTGGAAATGGCGATTCTACTCTGAAGATGGAATAATTGCCTGTGGTCAAAGCCTCAAATTAAGTGTAACTTTTGTGTCATGTCCTAATTAAGACTGTTCGTGTCGTTCGTCATCTAACTGCCATTTAACTGCATACCAGTTAACGAGCAAGATGATATCAGCGCTCACTTAAGCGATGATCTGGTTACAGCAGTTAGTAATGCACGCCCAATCTCCAACGGCGTTTCTCATAAATCAATGCGTAATTATCTTAGGTCTTAGTGAGACAACTGCATGAAACAAAAGAAAGTGTTGTGTGGTATGAATGTCCAAACAAACCAAACCATCTATACTGTTAAACGACACCATAAATTTGACGTAGGGTGATGATTAGCAAATAAACGTAGAACTAAATCTTGGCCGGGCCGCTGAACGTGCGCCTGAAACAGGTGTTAGATCTGCCGCCCAAAGCTCAACCAGCATGCCACAATACTCCAAAGGCGTCACTTATACTGCGTAAGAGGTTCCTATTTATGGCTTCATTTGCCGCTGTGGTTCCCCTAGGCTCCGTTCATCAACTGCGACATTCGGATGGCAGATTCAAGTCTACTGTAAAGACGGCCGTTTGATGTGTTCAATTCCGGAGGCTTACAGGTTGCATCCCATCCTAAGATTGATTGTGACCGTGTTTGTCTCAATTTATTCCGTTATGGCTGTGGGCTTTCGGAAAGGTCGTTACTTTGGAGGTAGGCTAATCCACAAGAAAAAAATTACAACATGATTTTCTGCAAAATGCAATGTTTCCCCAAGCATCATGCATTGGAAATGAAGCCTGACAATTTTGAAGACCTCATCACAGACCTGATGAATGTAAGATCGGGGGAATTTCCTTAACGGATCGCAAACTCAGTTACACGGGGGCACGCGTCAGGCGGTGTAGTCCGCGTGCAATGCGAGTGCATCATCAACAGACCGCAACTTAGTCCGTAATAAGATTCAATAATTACGACTCTCCGTGGAAGCTAATGACAGATAATGTGGTATATGAGATACGAAAATACAACCCTAATGTGTTGTACTAGCGTCGTGCATTGAACCCTAAAGTCGAACAGTCCACAAAAGTTAGTAAAACAAGATTCATGAAATTCTCTCACACGTCTCATCCTCATGGATTTGACGATTTTCAAGACTTTTTTTACTTGGTCAAAAAACCAAAACCAACAACAGCAAAAAAAAACCAAACCACCAAGATTTACAGGATTTTGAAAAGGCAAACCTTCAAAAATTTAATGAATCTTCATTTAAGCTATTGCCATCATGGCATTTATCATGCAGTAAAAACATTTTTCCCCAACGTCTAAAGAATTAATTTGTTTCATGAGATTAATAAATTCGATGTTGTTTTCAAACTCCAATTTTTCCAGTATTGTTTGTGACAATAAGATGACTCATCTTCAGTACTGCAGAGTAAATGAAGATGCTTCAGGTCAAGACATGCTATCTTCCCATTTATATGCGCAAGTGAAATCTAACATGGTCTATAGGCATGGAGTTCAGGGGCAGCAATTGTCCTAAGGCCATCAATTTATTAAATCCTGTGAGTCCTAAGGCAGTACTTCTTGGCCGGGTGCCTCCGGATTCAGCCGTATTTGATGCGCCGTGACACAGATCGAGCTCCATTGCTTTGAGATATCAGGACTGATATAGGCTAGAAATTTTCTTTGCTCTAGCCTAAAGCACCGCGGACAATGGTGCCAACAACGCTTTGGTAACACCAAGAGGAACATTTCGAAATATTACAGCAAAAACCGGCGTCGTTTACTGATAGCACATTCTGATTAGCTCACAGTTCTGAAAAATATGCTAGGAGAAACATCGACTTCTACAGTCACAAATAATAATAATAATAGGTAGGAACGTGCGTTCAACGTTGGAATCACTCTGAAATCCACGAGGCAAAGTTAAAGTGCGCTCCTGGATGTGGCTCCTGCCTGGCTCTTAGCGCAATAAAGGAAAGATTCACTAAATTTAACTTGACAGGACTGAACGGGATGAAGTTTGCACGCCCGACGAGATTTTCTCATTTGTTTTCTCGCCGCTTAAAGGGTCCTGGTGACGCATGTTTCTAGTACAGTCTTCCAGTCTTCCATTTACCTTCTTTTTAGGAATTTTCAATTTTTTTTGTGATGATGAGACATTTATTCAATGCTGTCATTCGTAGAAAACTTATTTGTACAAACAACTAAACTAGGCCTACATATTTATAAACAAAGCAGCCCTACACAAGTATACGAAGTTAGGCATCATTGATTACATTTTTGTGCCTTTTGTTTTACGCTAATATTGATACTCTTTAACAAAAATGTGATGTCATCGAAGGAAGCCAACTCTAATGTTACAACACCTTCAGCACAACGACGCTGCCACACGTTTGGTCATTCCGCCGCCGTCGTGAATTTCCTTGTCCTTGGAGATTCACCGTTGTTGTAGCATGACATGAGGCCGGCTGAGCCCAAGTTTCGTCCAAATATTTTTTTCACATGCAAGTTTTTGGTTCCTATTTTAACCAGAAAAACCCCTCCATTTAACGGTGTCTTTCTTCGATGACATCACAGCAAATGCCCCATCTCCAGGCAGGAAAAGCACGGAAAATTTGAAAAGTTTAGAAAAGGTGTACTTCTCTATAAGGCTACGCTGACCACCAAAAAGGGATGGCAAACTGTATTTATACATTCCACCTGCAAGAGTTGCACAAAATTGATGTGACGGGTCATGTTACTAGACTTTTTGAATTTGGAATTTATTTCAAATTTCTTGAAATCACTGGAAGTAAAGCAACTTTGAAAAATAGTTTAAAATGTTTAGCGACGTTATCATAACGAAACTTTGTACAAATTGACTCTGACAACTTCTAACATTGATGAAATATTTAACCAACTTCAACGAAATATTTAGCCGAGTGCAAACTGTGTAAGCATCTTAGTTTGTTTTGTTGGGTTGTTTGTTTGTTTGTTTGTTTGTTTGTTTGTTTTGCGGGGTATTTTGGTTGCACGATTGTGGACAAGAGGTTTGGAATGGAAACGCTCTAATGTAATCTTGACAAAGGTTTTAACCATTACAACCGATTCAGAAATTCAGGCCACTGTTTGCAATTCACAAGAAACATGCATGATGCAGTACTTGACAAGACGAACGTGCCGCAAGATAGATCAATAGAAAAAGAAGAACAGGCAGTGAGTGGTTGCTAAAGAAATCCCTCCTCATTACCGGAATCTTCCATACGTTCACATGAGAAGGGTGCTACAGGCGATATCACTCAGGTACTTGAGGTACCGTTATGCCTGCCTGAGATGTCCTCAGGACGAGAATTAGCCAGAATACCGATGAGATTATTTGGCCGCAGTGGCGGGCATGCACGGCTCACAGTGATCGTCCGTGTGATTGCCACCAAGACACGGGTTTCTTTGCAGCTTCTTGCCTTTCCTGTTTGGAGTCTGGATACATTCTCTGGAGCATTCACCAACAACGACGATCTAATGCTGCGCTTGAGTACATCAGTCAATTCAGGAGAAGTCAAACGAACCTGCTCAGTACTTTACACAATGCAAATTTATATTCGCGCTGCATACTTCCTAATGTGCCTTATCGGTAGTCCTCCATCTTGAATCGAAAGTAGGAGACAACAACACAAATATTTCCAAAGCTTTAAAATACAAAAGCAAAAACAAAAATCACATTATGAAGCAAATTAGCAACCCCGTTGTTCTCACACGAATAAATTTAAATGAAGATAACGAGTCACCCTCTTTAGGCCAAACAACAGTTTTCTTGAAAAGTCAAACAGTCCCTACAGTTATAACAAAATAGGCAAGCGCCATCATCATGCTATAGTGCGTACTGTAAACGTATTATTTTGAAGTGCGTAATAGAATCTTCGTATATTCACACAGATCGACTGTGGGTTATCATTTGGAAAAAATCGTGCGAGCAGAGAACCACTGGACAATGCTTGGCTTTAGTGCGATGCACCCATGCACGAATCTGTGG